TTAATGCTAACAGAAGATTACTAAGACAATAGATGAAATACTGCCACTTCTCATGGTGTCCCTCTAAACAGTGTTTGGGCCAAGTTTAGATAATTGATCATTGTGACTTACGTGGGTAGAAAGTCAACCTTTGGGCTTTAATCTGAGACATCTGAGTGAAAAGTGAGTGTACTGCTGCCTGGATGGCTACATGTGATACTGGGTTGTTGTGTCAAAAAGCAAGTCCATCCCAGCTACTCCATTTTCAAAATGATGTGGCTGGTAGTGACTCACTTTTACATGTGAGGCGTATGTGTAGTATAAAAGCTGTATTTTCTAAAATGAAAGTGCTTCATACCGAGAGATCAAGTGTATTTGTGTACATTGAAAATTTTCCTATCTCTATAGCAGCTGTTTATAACTTCACACTGAGGAATGGGGAAAAATGTCATGCCTTGACTATGATACAATTTGGAAAGCTAGGTTGATAAAGGATACTGTCCATTCCAAGAACAACAGCTTTACTCTCCCATTTTTTTAAGGAGCAAGCCCAAAAATTAGGGCTTTCCCCTAAGTCTCCCTCCTTAACCCATCTCTTTTCCCCATCATTTACCTTCACAAGGCAGGAGTTGTATGCTTATAGCCCTTCGTCTTTGATACAGCAACATTCAGTTTTGCCTGTACTGTTGAGAAGACACAAGCCAAACATGAAAAGCAATAAGAGCTTGACAGCAATAAGAGCACCCAACTGACATGTGCAGTTTGGGTGCACATGTAAAGCACTGAGAGAACGAGAGAGGGACAGCTGCTTCAACAACTGTCCTTAGGACTTGGAGTAGAGTAGGACTCCTCTAATTGCATGCTCAGAAGAGTCTTCACCTAAGATCCCTCATCGAACCAATGCTGCATAATGGCCTACCATGAAGAAACACATTTAACTCTCTCTGTCTAGAAGTACTAGCAACTCCTGCTTGAAACAGCAGCTATGCATTTTGTTAAGCACAGCTTTCACAATTTCAGATATTTCCAGGGGAGAAAGACTGCATGTGGGAAACAGGGAGACAAGGGGCTAGGTGAAAAAACTAGAGGAAAATAGACTTTTTGGATATCATGCAGCTTTACAGAGAAGCTCTGGTTTTGCAGAAATGGACAAATAACTTCCCAATCTCCAATGCATGCCTGTAACTTCAAATTCGCAGCCAAAGACTAGAATGTCTTCCCTAGTTCATCAAATATAAAATTCCAGACTATATCAAAGTACAGCAAATGTAACAGTTACTTCAACATCTTCTAGTGAAAAGACACTAGAGTTGTCTCACTTAGGTTCTTTGTTTTTACATCATTTCATCAGGCAAAGTCTCAGCAGGAGTATTCAGTATTCTTCTAGCCAGTGGATTACCTGTACTAGGTGGGACATTCATTCTATCCTGATTGAGGTAAAATTATTATATTAACAGGAAGACAATCAAAACAAACAAAAAGCCCCCCACATAGTTTCTGGAAAAAAAAGTCCTTAGTTTTTAGCAATGGCACTGATAGTAAGTGCCACTGACTTTTAAAGAGGTTTAAACACTCCAATGCGTTACCACATTTGAAAACAGGACCTGAACATCCAGTTGACTCAAATGCATTAGGAAATTGTACACAAGGTTAAGTTAGATAACCAGTTTATTTATTTATTTATTTATTGTAATTGACATGCTTCTCAGAACCATTTTAAAATATACACCTCTTGGGTTTTGACTGAATCTTTTATGTATAGCATTGTTGTGAGCCCACTGATCATTATTTTTGTTCTATTGCTCCCACCTGGAAAGAATGAGCCTGTAATTGAAAAGGCAAATTTAGCATTTATATTGGTAATAACATAGTTTCATTGCCATTCTCCCCAAAAAGAATTTGAACATTATGGTGAACCATATCTCATTGATAAGTGAATAGAAGGGAAGTAAAGCTTTCTCATTACCAGGTCCTCATGAGCCAAGTCATTTTTTTGTTGAGCAGAGCCTTCTATTGTGCTGTAACAATTACTTTTGCTCCCAGATATGATAACTCTTTAAAGCTGTACCTGGGAGACGCACACGATCTACATTAGCAGGGGAGTAACACAGTGTTGGCTGATAAACTAATCTCATTTGCTGTGCACCTGATATTTTATTGTGGAGGTTTTTTTCTTCTAATGGTGAAAGCCACGGACTCTGAATTGAATAATTTAACTCAGCAGAATAAATTACCTAAATAAAAGAATCAGTTTGAGATTATAAATTTCTTTTTGAAACTTCTGTTGCAAACATAATGCTTTAGCACTTTTTAGCTAGCTAGAGATTAGAGGAGTTTGAATAGAGTCATGTTATGCCAGCAGGTTTGTATGTATGTTATTCCAGGACACCATTTCAGACTAAAAACTTTCAGTAAGCTCCTTAATCACACTGTGATTAGAGGAATGGTAAGCAAGGCAGTGAAACTGTCTTCATTTATCATAAATTACAACTAGCATTTGAAGATAAAACACATGAAATACTAGCTGGAGGGTTCATTCTGAGAAATTATTAATATCATAAAGTTAACAAAATTACTGACTGTCACAAAGTGGATTTGCTACTTTTCTGTACTCTATGTGCAGAGTAAATGCATATGTATACCTAAACTGGCAAAACAATCTAAACTGTACCTTTAGCTATGAATTTAGGGAAGTATTTTCTGAAGTAGCATGGATTTTAAAATATCTTGTTGGTTAGTATTATACCTGAGTGTTTTTTGTTTTTTTTTTGACCAACTCATACTTGTGATTAATAAAACCCCTTATTGTTTTGCAAGGTAACAGTTCCTTTATACAATTGTACCATAGGACACAGGTATCTCATGCATTCAGAGTCAAGTACACATTGCAGGACATGTAGAAAAAATTAAAAAGTAAATTTAAAGCTCATATTCAAACAAAAAATCCATACAAATTCCAGTACGAACCTCTGTTTTGCTGAAACATCCTCTATTTCATTCATTGTACAGGTAAAAGTGGGCCCCCTGACTTCAGACATTGATCAAAATGCCAATATACTTGATGTCAAAAATTTGTGCTCTGAATATTAAATAAAATTATTCTGACAAAGAAGGGAACAGAAGATTATACTTCTATACAACTCCATGATCCTTTCCCCTGGAGAAAATTAATAAAAAAGAAAAATATGTTATGCACACAGTGTTCATCTCTGATACCTCTATCTGCTCAAAGGAGCAAGTGGACACAGTCTCTCACTAGTCATGGTTATCTAGCCTGCAGAACACCATTGTATTTAAAGGTGTGGAGGCAAAAACACTCAGATAAGTAACTGGAGAGTTCTGGCCTCTTCCATATCCACTGAGTTGCTTCAGGCAACAGAGCTTTTACATCTGCTCATGGCCACTAAATTACCTCTTTGCATGAATCTGGTAGATGCATGAAATTTATTTGCATGAAATTTTTTTGGTGTTATCCAGTTCGTTCCTGCCTCACTTTTCTGAAGACTGAAGATACGAAGGACAAATACTGAAATGCTGTTCATATGCCAGTATTCAAGCTGTGCCATTTGTTGGCCATCTTCTTCATCAGCTGCCTGTTAGAGTTTTACATGCCTGGGTAATGCAGCTGCACACTGGAAAGCAGAGATGAGTTTTTTTAAGAGCTTCCAACACGTCTGCTTCCTTTCTGAATGCTTTGGGCTGGTACATCCTGAAAACAGACACTCACATATCCCAAGGAGAAGTCAATAAAACCTGTACATGGCACCTTTTCTTAGCTTTGCCTCAGAGGACACTGCATGCTGCCACGCTTCAGTTGTCCTTGCTGATTTTACGTCCCAGCTGGGTAGGGCTCGCCACTCTGCTCACAGACACCTTTATGCACTTCACAGTGCTGAGGCTCAGCAACAAGCCTGCCACTGAGGGTATCTGCAGACTGATTGCTCTTTCTTTGAGACTGTTAGGACCAGCAGCTCTTTTCAGCCTTCTCACTTTTTTTCTATTCCAGGCAATCCAATCATTTTGACTCTCCAGTTTCACTTATAACTTTCTAAGAATATCCATCTGTTTCATACTCATTCTCCTCTGATCACTGTATGGCCATTCTTCGCGAGCGAAGATTTGGGAAAGGTCTTTACCCTTCGAGCCTGCGCAGTGGATTTTTTTTTTTAGGTGAGACACAGCGTGCGCTGAACTGAGCCCACCCTTTAATCCTGAGGTTCATCTGTTGGGGCCGAGCAAGCTTGGACAGTGGCAGTGAGGGTCTCAGAATGTAGGTTTGTTTAGAGTGACCTTCTCTTAGATGGATGGCCTTACAGGGCTGACGAGCTCCATCTGCCCGAGAGAGTTTTTCCCTGACCGGGAATTGAACCCGGGACGCAGTCGTGAGAGTGCTGCATCCTAACCACTAGACCACCAGGGGTCCCCTGATCACTACCAAAAAAAGAAAGAACATTACCCGTCCCACACAGCTAAGGGTCTGAGCATCATACAGCACTTGTAACTGTGTAGAATGTGACTGTCACAAGTAGGAAAGAATAAATCAATAGTTACGTGAAAGAAAATACCTGTTAATCCTGATGCTATCTTATGTCACCCTAGGCTGCGTGCTCCAGACTCTGCCTGCCCTAAGTTAGCTACCAATGTAGTATGACAAGCAAGAACAGGCAGCCTGACAGTTGCACCAAATGTGGTCTGAATACGGTTCGAAAATACCACTTCTGTTACCAGACCCCTCTAATAAAGTTTTAGGTGCTGATGATGGTTGTCTTTGTCCACTACTGAGACTGAGTTTTCAAATGGAATTACTAACATTCATACTCCTGTTTAGGAACTGTATGTTACTAGTAGTAGTCTAGTGAACACTGCTAAATCAGGCAGTGTTATCCATGCACTCCATGTGCCACTCCCATCAAACTATCTAGACTAGAGGCTGATGCAACCCTTTATTGTTGAACTTATCCAGAAAGAACCCTTCTTTTTTTGAAGAAATTCCTCTGTGGATTTCTCTCCAGGTTTCCTGGGTAAAAGCAAGATTTCTTAATCTCATTTAGGAATCGCTGTGGTTTACCAGGAGACACCAGGTGTGATGGTCCCTATGCAAATATGCACAGACATTTAGTATGCAGGTAAGTGGATTAAAGATTAATTTATCCTTCCCTAAGAACCAGTGAAAATTCTCTGCAAACTCACAGAAAGACATATTAGCAATTTTTTTTTCAGATGATAATTGCAATTAAACTTTATTTCACTTACTTCAGGTAAAATCATCATCTTCAAGGAAAATTCACGTGGAAGCATGTTACCACCCAACAGGCTTTTAAGCACAGAAGCAGAATCCTACTGGAGAAGTTTGCACTATGAAAACAGTTACAATATTAAATTGCTCACAGGCAGGTAAAAGCCATCACATCTACAGACGTGGACAAAGGTACTAATGTCCATGTGATTTCCACAGTATTCTTAATTAGCTTGGAAGTTACACCAGACCGGTAAGATGACTGCAAAAGAATAATTTTTCTACCCAAAGCATATAGTCTTTGGAAAAACTGTTCAATTCCTGGTTTTCATCTGCCTTTAATAACCTTAGTGAGCTGTTTAAAAGCAAATCTGTGAACCAAATTTCTTTTGTAATTAAAAAGTGAGTTTTAAATATGATTTGATGAAACAAAGCTCCTCTTTCTATTTAGGGTTTCCAGGGTTTCTTCTTACACAGATCACAAAATGAGGACCTCGTAAATCAAAAGAATACCATGAAGAGCAGTATTTCTTAATGAACAACAATTATGTGATCGGAAGGTATGCTGAAAAATACTTACAAATCAAGCCAATGAAGTGTTGTGAAGAAATCTTAGTTTCCCTCCCAAACACAGAGCAGAGTGACAGTACACAATTTTATAAGAGGTTGCATATTAGAAGTGTCCTGCCCAGCATGGGATCAGATTTTTGTGCTCTTGCATCTTATTTACTTGCTCTCTGATGGAGACACTTCTTACAGGGTGTTCACTTGATGTTTATAAAACAGTATAGACACTATGCTACTTTCATTTCAAAGAATGTATTTTACTGCTGTTATAAGGCAAGAAACTGTTTTTCATCCTATGACAACCTCAAACTGTCCTTGTAGCCTTAAAGCTCCCTTGCCAATGGAAGGCACTGAGTTGCAAACGCTCCTAAGAGGACTAAGTGTCTTTCTAGGCTACTGGGTCAGTTTTGACACTTAAAGAGATAATCCAGACAGATCTCGAGGGGATTGGAGAGGAAGCCAACAGGTTGATCCTCCTAGGGAAGGAAAATAACAGCAACTCTTTCCAAAAGCAAAAAAATCTTCTTGTTGAAAGATTCTCTAAGGGACTAATCCTCAGCTAACCTAAGATCTTAGTATTTAAAGCACACCAAAAGAAAAGATCTACACTGAAACAGTGCTCTGGTAGAGTGCATCAGTCCAGAAAGCCTAAGCTTGCAAATATGTTATAATCACAAGAGTAATATGGCTAAATGTTGGTAATGAAGGCTACCTGTAAATATGTACTCAGGGTGAATTCAGCATTCCAAGCAGTCATAAAACAGAGTTCTAATATTCTTACAGAAATTAAAAGCAGGTACACTGCCTGTATGAAATGCTGGGAAATAAAATTTTTCTGCCAGCAGTGTGCAGCCCGCATTTGATTATAGCTAAGTCAACTTCTTTAAATAAGTACTGAAGCAGTGTCAGTGTCACTGATCCTTTCTGAGGGACTCCATTAGAAATCACATTAATGAGTGAAGGAATAGAAGTACTGATCTGTATCACTCAACTCAATGTGAATTGATACCACACCACAGACAAGTTGACTTTTGTCACGTTGAAGTATGCAAGTGGTCTAGGTTATACTTAGCTTCTGCTTACTGAATCTAATCTTATTTGCTTTACTTTCTTCAATAAATCTGTTCCTCAATAGGACAAGCAGGAAAAAATTATTGCATGGTAATGATGTTCCAAGTGGTCCCTTAAAGTTATTAAAAAAAAAAGCAAAGCAAGTATTTCATAGAAAACATTGATTCAAGAAACTAATTTTCACAAGTCGTTTTCTCTTCGCTATTTTAGCATTAATCAATACTTAATAATGAAAACATGAAGTTTCGAATTTGCTTCTATTTCCAAATCATGGTACAAAGTTATTACATACTGTAGAAGATCTGAAGCATTATTTTAAAATAATGCATCAATCACATATTCTTAATTTCTATGCCTGTATTCACCAATGCTGTGGATACAAACCCATCTTTTTTCACTTGCATGATTTCTCATACAGTACCTTGCAGAGCTGATTCACCTTCAGAGAAGTTACCAGAATTTTTCTACTTCCTTTACACTACAACTCTTCAGTATTTTTGGGAGCAGTGAGCTACTGGCTTTTCTTTCACTCCAATTTCCTTGAATCCAAGTGAAATAGCAAAGCTGCTAGATATGTAAACCATGCAATTCAGTTGCCTTGGCTAATTATTACGTGTCATTTTTAATACCTTTTTAGAATGGCCAACTTTTTGGAAAACTTTATTATTGAAAAGCCTGAAACCTTCTTCAAAAGAACAATTTTCCTCTGTTTGTATTGGGTGAGTAGCAAAACATTTTGCACCTGACATAATTCTCTCTATATTTTAGATCAAAAATTTAGTAATCTAGTTAAAAAGGAGCATGCAGACATTTTTAAGGATTAAACCACACTCATTGGGAAAAAATATATTTAAAAAATCACTTTTATCAGCATCATGAAAAGTAATATCAATTGTCATTCACACACATACACACACACCTTTCTTTGTACTACTGTTCTTTCTTTGTACTACTGTTTGGTTTTTTATCCCTTACTCATTTCATTGTGATTTGGCACCAAACGACACAACTGCATTCGTTCTTCAAAGCCATGGTTTTTTACAACACCTTCGGAGGCACAAGCATGAGGCCCTGCTGCAGTCTTCCATGCCTTCCTGTTCCACGCTGGAAAGGAAAACACACTAACATTATTCCATCACGAAGGCATGCAGCATGTGCAGTTGGCTCACAAAAGTCCAAGTTTAGAGTAATATCTGAGCATATTCAGGCATTCCAGTCACATTATCTCATCAGGTTATTTTCAAGAGAGTAAGACCATTTGGAGAAGAGCCCTAAGGCAGAATGGCACAGAAGCTAAGGATAAAAGCTCAGAGGCACGGCAGAGAGGTCAGGACAATGGGATCAGAACTGCTGGGCACACAAAAGAAAACTGGAGACTTGACTGCAAGCGATTCTTTCCCACTCAGACTTGAATTTCCCTGCTGGGGTAGCCAGTTGACACATGTCAAAGCAGAATCCATCTCCGTCTTATAATTTAGACACTGTGAATGAACTTAGAAAACAGGGAAAGTGTGACTGCCTGTGTAAATCTGTGGTCACTCCAGACCTTGGTGCACTATAGCTTCCTACAATTGCAGCCTTAGAATTGTTTAGGAAGAAAAGGAAAAGTAAGATCTAGGATCTGCTTCCCTTCCCTCGCCTTCTTCTGATCAAAAAAATGAAATTTTAAATAGGATTTGGAAAATGAATGTTTGTCTAAATTATAAGAGGCTCACAGTTTCAGTTCAACATCTGTTGCTTCCTTTGAGAGGTTTGGGGAGTTGTCAAGGGTTTTATTTTTTTAATTGAGCAGTTTAATTTTTTTTTAATTGCTATCGCTTTATGATATTGGTATAATTTAACACATTAGGATGATATAATGACCAGACACTGCACTGCTGCTTCACTGAAGAATAGCACACAGCTGCCTGTGCTTTGTACAAGTAAAGCATTGAAAATAATAGCCTTGTGATGAAAGCACATTGAGTTGTTAATCACTTTCTAATATTCTGTGCACAGAAATATTCTTGAGATATCTGAAATTAGACACAAGAGGCAAAAGAAGGCATCATTTTTGAGTGGCCATGTGACAACTATGGCCATCTAACGATATGTGTGTAGAAATTGCTCTACTTGAATTCACAGTAGAAAAAATACCTAGCCTTTCCCTGTTTGATACATCTGTCAAACCTGTAATTTTCATTTCAGAAGAGTAAGTCCCAAATAGTATAGAAGACGACGATTCAGATGTGCCAGTGCTGAAATTATATAAGTTGGGGAAAGTACAAAGATATAATATATGTATCTCAGAAGAGACAAAGACAAAAAAAAAAGTAAAAAATATCAAAGGATCTGAACAGATTCAGAAACAAAAAAGTACACTTTTTTTCTGTGAGTCTACTGAGATATATTTCAAACATGACGTCATTTCCAGACAATATGGCCTTCTTTAAGAAACTTAAGCCAGCATTCAACTTACATTGATCAGTCTCTTGAGTGCATTAAAAAGAATGGTTTGGACAAAGAGTAAAAATCAAGTTTTCTATGAAGGACAAGCATTCATTAACATATATTTGTTTATTGGAATAATCTTAAGATTTAAGATAGTGAACATTAGAAATGCCATACTAGTTCAGGCTTATGGTCCATCCTTCCCAGTATTTGCTCTCCAGTAATGGCAAGAGTAGGTGCTGTATAATAAAAGCATGCAAGCCTGCACACTCACGGTTGTCTACCCCCTCCACACTGTCCTAGCCTCCACGGTGTGAGTTTGGTTTTAAAGTGAAGCTTATTAAAGGGTGCCATCTCTGTTTACTTCTATCAGTTTAGGAACCTACTGCATGTGATTATTCATCTCAATTGTTTTTTTTTCTAGCCTGCTGATACAACATCCCATGAAGTTCATGAAGCTCACTGCTAGACAAGAACAGTACTTTCTCTTATCCATCCTGAACTGCTCTGATAGTTTTTTCATGCGGCCCTTGGCTGTACCACCGTGGGATTTGATCACCAGCAGTTCAGCATTCATCACTGCCCTTGTGGTTTTTGAGCCTCAGCCACATGGTTTCTTCTAAGGACTCTCCCCTCTAAAATGAGCACTCTATTCCTTTCCTCAAAACATAGCTCTCCCAAGCTTTTAACCAATTTAGCTGCCCTTCTCTACCTGCTTTACCTCTGCTACATGTTTCTTTCAGTCACAGGCAACACAAAGTCATGCTAGCAGACCCAGGACCTGGGTGAGGGTCAGCAGACAGGCAGTATGTTTGCAGAATAGCAGCAAGCTGGGAGGCAGCAACATGGGGTCACTTGAAACATGCTACATTACATCCCTTCCAAACACCAGACTGCCAAGACCAAAGGAAGGGGAACTTCCATTTAAAGAAATATGCATAATTGCCTGTTTTATTATATAAAATAAATGTGTGGATGGGTTATAGAGGTTTCCCATCCTTTCCCAATGAGTTCCAAATGCTAGACTCTCTCAGCTTGCTATCATATGTGATGTCCGAAGTTAGTAAGACAAATTCATTAGGGGCAAAAAAGATAAGTCCCACAGTATATTTTCTGATACTGCACTCTCAAGTCTCAGCTTACCCTTCTTTATAGGAGGCTCTAAAAGATATAATACAGTAATATGAACTTTTCCAAAAAATTAGAAATTAAATTGACTAGCACAAAATCATTTGCAAATCATTAAAATGCATTTGTAATACCTGGTTTGAAATTCATGCTGCATTACTCAGTCACCCAGCTTATTCATATGGGAGTAATGAAACTGTTATCTGACTTGCATATTAACTAGTCTAGTACAAATCAAAGTATACATCTGACTTTCAGTTTTTGATTGAGCTGCAAGTTTCAAGATTATGACCAATTTAAGAGGAAGGTGATTTGCAAAACTAGCCACCAGAGCCCTACTTGTAAACTTTTATAGTGTGCATGTAATTGAAAATTTGCTTTCACCTTTGAGCATTCATGCCTCAAAAATATGTTTTCCACACCTCTTATTAAAAAAAAAAAAGGGCATTTTTGGACAAAGGTTATTACAGTCAAATTAAGACCAGCTTTCAATTCAAAATCCACGGGGCATATTGTAATAAATCTGAAGTGTAATTGAAATATGGGTTTCTTTTAGAACTTAAGTTTCATACTTAATTTGAAGTAGGGTATTCTTCTATGTTGACTACCACACAAAGAAACAGAAATAAATTCAAATTAAGCTGAAAGAATGATAAATTTTTATGGTTATCAAATTTGGAACTTTTGTTGGTCAGATATACTGACTTTCTAAACAACATCTAGCTGTTATATGACAGACAGCTTACTTTTACCTGTTACTGTCACCTAGAGACAACAGTCAGGCATGCAGGGCATTTTCTGAGGGTGTCTTAAGGGCAGTGTGTGATTCAAAGAAGAGTACACAAGAGAAATTGTAAATATATAAAAATAGTGAAAAATCATTTAAGTTTTGTACATTTTTGGCTGTTAGAAGATTTTAGAAGTTCCTAAAATGACAACACAAATGCAAAACAACTACTGAGTCACCTTCTTAAAAGGCTAGTAGATCTGTATTTTGGTATTGCAGACTGTACCACTGTATTCCAAATATTTGTTTTCCTCTACTTCCATCTAATAAAACTGATTTCAATCCAAAACACATGATGAATTTGGGAGGAAAAAAAAAGAATGCGTTATGAGATCTCAGTGTATCAGTTCCAAATATATGGTTTACAGGACACCATTTTGCTTGCAAGATCTTCTGATAGTCTCAACTACAGGAAATTAAATGGCAGAAAACAAAGCATTTCCCAGAGTGTTAGTGGCTCAGCATTGCAGCCTGTGAAACAAAGCAACATAAGAACAATATTACAGGGAGCATTAACTCATACACTCACTAGGCATCTAGTATGTGTGATCAGGTAGGAAAAAACAATTTCCAGCTATAAGTCTTTTGTTAATGTTTTGCTGTTGTAATTTAGAACCTTTTGGTACTTTCTCACTTTGCAATGAGAAAGGAAACCACTGTTAATAACAATGAGGAGGGTTACTTGTGAAAGATGAGCCGGAATATTGCCTGAAACAATGACTCACAAAACAGATGTCAAATGTAACATTATTTACATCAAAGGCATTATCAAAGATCTCTCTTACTTTGCTAATTCTTTCTTTGATTCTGCATGTAACCTTTAATAGACTGAAAGTCATGCTTCATCCTCTGTGGTGGAGGGCACAGGAACAGACGCGAAAGACACAGCACTTTGGAGCAGGTAGAAATAAGTCGTCCTGTGTTTTAATAACAAAAACCCAGAGCAATCACCTACAAAGAATACACTAATGGTATTTGAAATTTCAACCCACAATTGTAACTGGGCTTCTGTGTCAAAACTGGTCACAAAGTTAGGTTTTATTCTAAAATATGACTATGAATATATGCCATACTTGCCATAGAGGAAGTGACTCTCGTATCTAGACTCAGGCTCTGTCTGCTACTGGAGCCTGCATGGTACATAAGTAACAGACAACAGTGGTAAGGGCCTTGTTTCTGCTCTACTCCATATTTAACAAAGAGGTACAGAATGTCACCTTCACTTTGGAACTAGGCATTTGTGTAGGTATTAGTCAATCAGCTAGTTATGATATTAGCATGGACTTATACAAAAAATAAGGAGAAGAGTTTACCTTAAATGAATTGCAGAATCCAGGGCACCAGAGGAAACCAACTCAAAATGAAGAATTTGTCTGTGCTAATATAAACACTGAAGTGCATCACCTATTCATTAAAGCTTTAGGAGCCTTTGTGAGAGAGGGCTGGGGCTCAAAACACAACTTTTGACAAACAGATTGGGCACTTGCAACGTAAGCAGAGACCAAGTAGCTTCTGAGCAGCAAGGAAACAGAGCTATGGCTTAGAGGTTATGGAGAAGAGATTTTTCTGGAGATCTGAGCTGCATTTATTCTGTCTTTCAGAAATTGCCAAAAATATCACAAATCTGAGAGAAGGGATACATTGAAGGCAGCTTATATATAACTCCTTTGTATTTTACTGTCTTGCCCTGAAGAAATGCATTTTCTGCATTTTCAGTTTTATCTTAGTTTTTGTTCAAATAAAACCTGGCTTTAGAGACTTAAAGCCTTCCTGTGGTTTCTTACAAGGCAAAAAAATCTTTGGGCTATGTGGGAAGCTTGTCACACAGTCCCCAAAAGCATAGCTACACAGGAGGTCATGAAGGAGTCACACACTTTGAGTGAAAGAGTCAGTAGAAAACACACTGCTAGGAGAAAGAGGTGGTGAACAGGACAACTCTTTCAATCTGGCATCCTCTTCACTGGGACACTCATTCAAGTATACTCCCTTTTGCATGCTCTGAATCTCACCTCCAATCTTTCATAGCAGTAAAATATTAAAAGAGAAGTGCATTCACAGCCAAGGATCCCCAGTGTGATGGAGGTGAGGTCTTCTCCCTTGAAAATGAGAAAGACTAGCTAACAGGTGTTGTAATGTATGATCTGATACTTTTTAAAAAAATAACCTCTGCAAGCCTATCAGGTAGGAGGAAATTAAAATAGCATTTCTTAATTTCTGTATTTATGCTATTGTTACTCTTTTGGCCAGCATTCAGAAGAAAAACCAACAGCATTTCCATCCTACCCTGTGCTCTGGGAAAATCTGTTCCTGCACAAGGGTTAGTGGGCCAGAAACAAGTAAGTGTTAAATGTCAGCTGTATGGTTGTGATAGAAGGTTAATACAGATTTAAAGCCAGTATTCCATATCATGCAAGGAGATCTTTTGTTTTCTTGTAACAAAAGCATGGATGCATAAAAAAATACCAATTTTTCATTACCAATATAAAATAAATTTGGATATTTTTAAATGCAACATTTTTTTTCAGGACCAAATTTGGTGAAAGCTCATCAGCAAGTCCATGCAAGACCATGTTATCCATAAAAACTGTGAGTTGGACACGTTCTTGTTGTTTGAAAAAAACTCCTGCACCCCAACATTTGGGACAACAGCTTTGGGTTTCCCATTAAAAAAAAAAAAAGCTGCATTTTTTTTTTTTAAATAACAAGTACCATTTTTTAATAGAAGTACTTAATCTTTGCTGTGATCAAATAATAACTTTTCAACTGTGTAATATGACGGTAATACAGTATTCAAAATAAGCAGTTATGAGGTAAAATGATTTATTATGAAAACAAAAATTTAGAGGGAATAAAAGAAAAAAAAGTGAAAGACTTAAAATATTTTTTAAGTCATACCTGTAGCATCAGCCTGGAGATCCAGTGCCAGGTTGAGGTGGCTGGGTCCCTCCAGGTACCCCAGCCAGAAGCTGGGCAGCCCCTGCCCTGGGCGTCAGGCACAGCTCTGGTAATGAGATCAGGCTCCTGGCCCTGGATGGAGCTGGAGTGGAGCCAGGCAATGACTGACTATAAGGGCAGGGGGTGCCCTCACGACACTGCCACTCCCTTGTCCTCCCTGCTCCAGCGACAAACTCCAGTGATGGCATGGTGTGGACCAAGATGAGGAAGGGGAGTAGGGCATGGAAGGTCTGTCAGCACCCACATGGGGCACTAATAAGCCCATATAGCCTCAAGCAGCCCCTCCTGGGGCTTGCCCCAAAACCATGGGCCGAGGAGCTTTATTTAACCTCTGTCAGGAAGGCTCTACTTCTTGCCTGAGTTGTGTCAGAGGATTGCTGGGTTCTGCCTCAGCTACAGCCCCTGCCTGGCCGTGGAGCACCTTGATCCTGGCCTGGATCTCAGCCTGGCCCTGTAGCCCTGCCTGGTGCTTGCAGGACCTGATCACCTGTGGTTTCATTTCCAGGTTGGTGTCACACTGGCTTCACTGCTGCTGTATTTTCTTACAGTCTAGGCTTGTGACTCAATCTGCCTGTTGTTTCCAGGTCTGTCTTGCTTTCTGTGTTGGGAGTGGTGGACAAGCCTAAGCTGGTGAGCCCTGTGCCCTACAGTCCCACTTCCCTTAGGCAGCAGCCATGCTTTCAGTGCTTTCTGGTCATAACCTGCTGTTCCACCCTCATTTTTGGTATTGCAGCATATTGCTTCCAGGTGTGGCACAATAGAGGTATTCCACGCACAGCTGGAGCTTAGCTGGTAACCAGCTGTGCTATAACAACAGAAAGGTGATTTTGTTACTGCCTGGTTGGGGGAAGACTGTATATTTATTATGTTTATTCTCCTCCTTCTTTTCTTTATGTACAATGCATTGTAGTAAGACAAATTTTACTGAGAATGTGTGCTTATACACATACACTTGAAAAAAAATCCACAACTCCCACGACCTTAAACAAATTGCAATTTCAAATTCTAATGGTTGAGATCAACTTATGTGTTTATACTGCTCCACTGAGCTAAACAAGAGAGCATTAATAGTTGTAGAAAATAAAGTTTTGTGTATCAAGGAACAATAACTGTGCATGGGACAGATGCTATAGGCATAGTCCAGAGTGTCTCAGTTGCCAGTTATTGTTAACCGGCTCTAGAATGTCAGGCAAAAAAATACACCCCCTTAGTATGAGGCCTCCAACAGGCATCAAAAAAAGCCCACTTGAATAGTATTATGGCAATTCCTAAAAAATACTCTGCAGGCCTTGGTAGTGTAAACATATGCCCCAGCAGTAATGCTAGTACTCCTAACATACCTCAATTTTTAAAAGGGGGCTTAGAAGTAGCAGCATGCTGAATCAGCCCTGGAAACAAAACACTTTTGTATCCAAAATACCTAGCTGCCAAGAAAAATAAAATATAATCATGGTTTTATGTAATATGACTACATATTTATTGCATAATTTTAATACACACTCTCTGCTGCATCAGCAGTTGAACAAAAGTTTCAACATCTCTCAATACACAGCCTTCAGTTGTTCATAACATAAGGCAACACATTTCTCACACTGGGCAGCCAGCCCTTGCTATTTTGTCCAAATCTTTTCCCAAGACTGTCAGCTAGATCTGCATAGTCTCTGCATAGCTCTGCAACATCTGCTTGGGTTAGCTTTAATATCAGCAGAAGCTAGTCCTGTGCCATTTTATTAAATTCTTCAAGGCAAGTGGTTAGCATTTCTTCTAGACCAGATGGAGCCTAACACGGCACAATATCCCTCACATTTAAACCTCATCCATTTGATAGACTCCGGCATAATGACCAACATGTGATGCCCATTGTAAGTTCTTCTGTATCTGTTGCTGCTTTGGCATGGCACATTATACCAGCTGGAGAGGGAGCTGGTTAATGGAACACAAAATGTCCCTCACTGCTCTGCACCAAACTGCAGGAATCCTCCCATATTCTCATTTATTTACCCTGGTAAGCGAATAACACAGCTGTAGTATTCAGCAGGGCTCCTCAGGGACAGATAAGTTTGCCTGATCAAATAGAGATGAAGAATTAGAGCCCCACCTAGCTTGCTTGTGATGAGTTGGGTCAAAACTTTGCTTTATCATTCATCTTCAGTCTTACAGCAGCAAACTTGGTCCTCTTGGATATCTAGTCTTAATGCTGTTAGAGGCTAATTCAGTCACAAAGGAACATCATAGCTGGACCATACTTGTCTGTTGCTTCTCGAAGTCAGTGCATTTGCTGGAAACCTGGCACAGGTTCTGGTTTCTGGCTATTGTTCTGTGCCTAGGTGGATTCTCAGGGAAAAAAAACTAATAATCTTGGGTTTTCAGAGTCTGAAACACTTCTTCCTCCTTGTTATTAGACATTCACTGTAACTGTAAGTAATAAAGTATATGCATAGTTTCAGCAGGTGTTCAATTTGAACAAAAATTCTCTCAGTTCCATTCAAAACAATTCCCATACGCCTCAGAGTAGGTGAGAGCAGTATGTGCCCATTTAACTTTCACTGCCTATACCTGCTACCCTACACTCTGCTTAGTGGGTGCGGGTTGCACAGATTCATGCAGAGTGTGCAGTGTGGAAGGGGAGTATGCACTTAGCTTTGCACTTAGTATCTGAGATTTTTTGACTAACTTTCGCGATCTCTGGCCAGCTGAACCCACTTAACTAAGTTTGGACCTGCCTTGCATTTCATGCATCTGAAGGAGAATTTTCTCACATCATAGGGTACGTGAGAGCAGGCCTTTGCCCTGTGAAATAAAAAATGCACATTGAAGTGAAAGAGGTTGACTATTCCACTTTACACTAATAAAAGTCATATTGGCTTCCAACTGATTAAGGCTAAAATTTTGGAGGTGAAAGCCTTATCATTAAGACACCAGAAAATGCCATACAGATATAACACAATAGCAATGGCATTCTTTTATTTTTCTAATTAATCTCATAGTTGTTATGGATTTCTGAATGTTACCCTAGTATTCATGGGGCACACTTTCAGGGGGCAAGCAGAAATGTGGTACATCATTTGTCCAAACTGACCTTCTTTGAGCTATCTTGGAGGTTACCGAGCGACTCACCTTTGACAAATGGATACCAAGAAGCTCTTGCAATACCATTCTGTTCCAGAAATGTCATATGCAATTTTCCATAGATTCAATGACCCTAAATGATATTGCACCTTCTGCCTGGTAAATAATTGATATATGTCTGATAAAGCAAATGGAACAGGAAGATTTCTGTTGCTTGACTCTTCAAGCTGCTGTCTGTTTTCTGAGGTTTTGGCAACTCTAAACCGATTAAAAATAAATATTCACTATAAGATCAAGTAAATCATAGATTCCACACATGAAATTCTCTGAATTAATTCTCAGAATGAAGCAATTCAGAGGGTTAATTTGCCATTGTGAGTCTTATGATTCTAAAAGGCCAGTAGACCACAACAATTTTAACAGTAGATTAAATTTTTAACATTTCTCTAGGCTTTGTTTGCATTGTACACAAATAAAACGACTGTTGAAAGCATTAGCTTGCAGCTAGAGTGCTGAAGTGTGTTGTATTCTTAATCCAGTAATGATGAAGTTATTCCCTTAGTTTCTTAGTACTTTTATTATAAAATTGAGATATTCATTTGCTCTTGCAATATAAGGAGGCATAAACAAGGGTTAGTGTAGAAGTTATTGCTGTAT